TTAGATGAAATTCGCTGGCACATACAACACTTTTCGAAAGTTAATCGTTGAACGAAAAAAGCAGACGAAAATGCCAACCTGATTGGTGAGGTGTGTTGGACGTATTCGAATTTTGCCCGGACAGCCGCTAAAAATATGGAAATTTTCAAAGAAATTCAGGCAATAAACGAGATCGCCTACAAATAATTATCTAACGGCTCGTTTGTACAATATTCAGACTATAGAATGAAAGCACTCGTCGAATATCTCATTAAGGAATCGTATGATATGAGTAGATCATTTCACACGGAATCATCAACCAGTGATGTACCTCAGATGCTCGAGAAAACGTTAGCTTCGTTGATGACTGCAAATTGAGTGAATTGGAACGATAATGTGACGATGATGTTGAAGAGGAAGTAGATGACGGGTATGGCAGGTGTTGTTTCCTCCTAAAATTCATGGTTTTCTTACTGCTTAATAATCGATCATAATCACTAAAGTAATAATCATAATCAAATCATCGATTAATCATCGATCACAATCATTCATAATCATTATAATCGATCATCATAATCAACAGTGGTACATTCAACTGCAAATAATTATTCAGAATTGAGAGAGAAACGCTCTGAGCAATCAAACCACTGCAATGATGCATTTCTGTGTAAACCACGAGATTCACATATTATCTATACGTCAAACATTCGTCCATTTCAGCAACATAGAGCATAATTTTAACTTTCTATAAACTTCATCCGCTGCATATCAATAATGGCGATAGTACGGTGAGAATCGCATCTTTTAGCGAGAATGACCATCAGAAGCAGCAAATGCGATACATTCACATTACACTACTACTATGCGCCTCACTACTACTGTGTGTGCAACTAAATATGTTTGGAGAGAATGAGAAACGGCATTTTTTTGTGGCTTTTTCAATGCAGCCTAATATAGACGAGTAAGAAATTCAGTGGCTTTTTTGCAGTGTTCAACCAAAATATAAACGAGCGAGGCATTATTGCACAATTCAATTGCCAGTCACATTTCACGCAACCAATCCGCGAAATTATACAGTAACGAATTTTCCACAATAGTGAAACGTTTACTAGACGGGCAACGAGTTATTTGCTATCGGGAAGCACGAAAAATAGCTAACTTGGTGATGAAATTCTCGCTGTTTGATTTTTCATCAGTTAACGCCGCAGTAGACGGACCATTGAAATTCAATTTTGGTAGCTTCTTTGTTTTCGATTTCCTTGTCTTTGGTGTTGCTTCTCTATCATCCGCTAGAAATTTCTCTCGAATCAATCAGTTAATTTCCCAAATCGTTAAAACTTAATTGGAAAGCAAAGAATACAAATAATCAGGCGATGAATACAAGAACACTACCTAGGGATGGGCAACTTCTATCGAGTCGTAACAAACCCATTCCACACTTACAACGACATAGCTTTTGTATCAACGATAGTCCCTTCTTATCCCACAAATTCGATCGCCTCTGAGCATCCGTCCAGGCTCGTGCCGATCCTGAACTCATGACGGAATGTTAGTCAATTGCTCGCTTACCAAAAATTCTATGCACATCAAAAAATTGCAGAACAATTTTGAAGGCGCATTGTCCAATGAAGCGCTAAAAACGAAACGACAATAACAATGTGAAAATGACTTCGTGCATTTCCATAGCAAAAGAAATAAAATTGGTTTATTGTTTAGATGACTTTTTTTTTACTTTACTCAGCGAAAAGAGCATGATTTTTACTCAAATTATCCCCTTACATTTAGATGACTCAGCGAAAAGAGCATGATCAATTATAAGGTAAAAGTGGGCATATGAGGTGATTTCAATTTACAAAAGCGTTCGATCAACTAACCCATAGCGCTCATAATTTTGACGAGATAATTCTCGAGATGCTCGAAACATTCACGATGCATTAACGTATTCTTGAATTGACATTTTGTGTTGCTACACACCATTTTTATACCGTCTTTCAGTGATTTAGGTGGTGAACAATCTGAGCAACATCATTCATCATTCATTAATCTAGTTCACAAGGACAATCATTAGTAATATGCACTAGTAGGTATTGTTGTTATTCTCTAGTTTCGAAAACACATAACGAACTTGATTCTCTTCTCCATACGCTGTTCGGCGATAGGTCTATCTATCAATAACGTTGCTTCTCTCCCGGATTATCCCAAAAAACTGTTTATGAAAGAAACTAAAGGCGATTTCAAAGAGCAGAAAAATGGCATCATTCATCTTACACGGAGCAAATAATTTATTGATCATTCAATCGTGTTTCACATTTCATTACAAACAAGGAAACAAACGCACAGCTATTTGGACTCATTGAGTCCGTAGAAATGAAAAGCTCATCGAAAAGATTTTTTAACAAATCCAATGGATATCAACATTCATTGACAATAACAAATCACATCATGTGACTTGATGGAACACAATTCATAAGAAATTGCAATCAATCATTTACCTGTGGGAATGTTCCGTAGAACAAATGAGAATAGACGAAACACGCAAACAAGCACAATTNTCCTCACTACTCATATATTGCGATGAATTCTTATGATGACCATCTACAAAAACGAGCCATATATAAACGAGGACAGGTTTGAGAAATTTATAAAATATTCCAATCGTTCTAGGAATATTTCCTTCCACTCCTTGAACGACACTACTCACATCTCAAAAAAAAACCGTATTCCCGTACCAAAAAAAAGCTTTCTTTTGCAGCAAAGCGCATTCATCTTTCTGAACTTCCTAACGTAAGAGAGTAAACCTCTACTAGGAAAACCTCTTGAGAGTATGAGTTTCGAACAAGTTCCCAAGAGAATCACCAACTAGAAAGTGTAAAAAACAACGGAAATGAACATCGCGTCAGTCACCTCCTCTATCGTTGGATGGCCGTTTACCGAACGCCATTGCAAATTTAGCAGTAGCACTCCTTTGCAAAAAACTTCCCGTCAAACACGCTGATCAGTATCACGTCAGACAATCAAATGAACAATTCAAACGCTCTGAAATGCTAACAAATTTGAATGCTGCACAAAACTCCATAAAATGCAAATGAATCGTATAACGTATTGTTAATATGATAATTGATGTTCGTCGTCTTAAAAGCATATATTGTTCACAGAAAGTATAGCGGCGGGCAACCAATATGTTCTGACTGATTTGCTGGCTAAACAAATCTTTCAGGCAGATATTATTACTCGCCTCGATAAAAGTTTCTTGTTGTAGTAGGAGCCCAATCAACGCTGGGCGGTGTGGAGAAACGGATTTCATTTACGGGCGGGCTCACTCTTACGCCGGTACCCCAGAAGACGGTGGTGGTACCGTCTCTGTGTCATTAGTACCGTTGCAGAGAGCTCGAAAAAAACAGATCATCTTCGTACAAATCGAAAAAATCCAGGTCATTTGCAGAAAAACTGTATGTATTGATGAAAAAAAAACAAGTTCATTCCACTTCTTCACAACACTCCTCAACGAAATGACATTCACATCAATGCGTTTTTTTTTTGATAAATAATGCAACTAATCACAACTAATCAGCTGCTCAAGCCGGTGAAACAGCAAAATCGCGCAGACAGCATTATGCTCAGCAAATACCAAACAAAAGCTTTCGTTTATCCCTCGATTCATAAAGTTCTTCTCGAGTTATCGCTTTAGGATTTAGTGGAGAAATTTGAAAAGCGAGAAATATTTGGGTGGAATCAGATCGGATCGATGTGGTTGAAAAGACAGATCAACAAAAAATACCCATCCTCACAGACAATGGGCGATAATTTGTCGAATCGAATGCAGCAAACGAGTAACTGAACGAATATTGAAGATGCTAGTAGAAGAAAATGTTTTTTGTTTGTTGTTTTTATTCGCAAAAAAAAAAAAACACACCAACGATCAATGCGCATTCAATAGAATTTTCCAAATTTTCCATTACTGTTCACATCATTTTCTCAGCAACAACATAAAATCTGTTCTCTATGATTACGACGCTAATGTAGTGCAATTTCGGAGTGCTGAAGTGAATGTGCGTGCACAAAAACTTGTTAGGCATCAATCAAGTTTTCAATGAAGAAAATAGAACGAATAAATCGCTCACAGTGACAGTTGATAA